TTTCATTAACAGCGGAGATGAATCACTTCCACAGTAATCGAATTTATGATTATAATACTGTGATGCGTCTGTACCTGGAACAGCAGGCACAATTCTATGAAACGGTAAGCTGTACTGAATATAGTGCTCTTTTTATGTCCGTCAGCTATACAGTTACTTGTTCTTCTAAATAGAGTTGAACTCTTTGTGCTCAAATTTTGTTATACATTTTAAATATTTAAATAGAAAGTTAAGTGAATATTTATGGTTTTATCTATTGTTTCATAAATCACTTGTGAAAATCTTCACTTTAAAAATGTAGACGTGTAATTATTTCCCTTTGTTCCCTTAGAAAATGCTGCTTGGCACTGCTAATCCTTCCTGCATTGCACATTTTGCATGAGACTTTTGCAGCTGGCACTTTTTTTTTGGCTAGGATGCACATTGAATTAAACTTGGCAACTCATTAGCAATTCTTTCATTCCTTTCAGAGAAAGGGGAACGGTTAAGATACATGCAGTTATTCTACTTAATTCTCTGTAATTTTACCCCCTGAGCCCCATACCAAAGAGGCAGAGGAAATGTAGTTTAAATTGCATTTAATTCCTGTCCAGAAGCTACTGCCCATTTAGATGAATATATTAATATATAAACAGACCTGAATAATATGGTAGCTGGAGATTAATATTTCCACATATGCATTGTTGTTATCAATCAGCTTTTTAATCACCTGTTTGCAATGAATTGCCATTTTAGCCAGATCTATTATGTCTTTTTTCATCTTTGAAATAAATTAGCCAACTTTGTTTGCACACTGGTTTTGAAGAACATAGTGGATTTTCCCAGGTTTTATTTTTGTTGTTGTTGTAAAATATATCATGTCATGGATTTTAGTATCGCAGTCATTAAGTGTGCTAAAGTATGCTTCTGAATAATTACATTCTTTGAATTATTGTTTGGATTTATTTATTTGTTTCTCATGTCTATTTCATGCCACAGGAACAAATTGTGTAACCTTCTTTCTTCCATGATCTTTAAAAGCAGATTGATGGTGGGGAAATTCTGAGAGCATTCCAGGGTCCTAAGTTTTACATTCCCTGTGTGTTTCAGATTGCACAGAAACTGAGGCAGGCTCTCAGTCGCTTTCCTATGATGTAGCTGAAGGCAGATGAAGAACAACAACTCCAAAGTGCTTTTTTTGATTATTGATGGGGGAAGTGCAAATAAAGAAGTGGAAGACTTTGCCATCCAAAAAGCCTTTTTCAAAAAGATAATTTCTAAAAAATGAACCTTAGAAAAGAAGAAAAACTTTACATGTTTACTTTGTTAGCCTTATAGCCCTGGATATTTATCATTATTTTTACCCTACATGTTTTCCTTCCCTAGCTGTTATTGAAATGAAGCTGGAAAGTACTGTATTTGATGAGACTAAATTGCCAAAGTTGGTTTGCCAGATACTAAAAAAAAAAGATATATTGTTCTAAACCGGAGTGGACAAACATATGGATATTTGGATTTTTTTTTTAGTTTAACTACTTTGCCCATGTTAGGTAAGAGTTAAGCATCCTAATCTTTTCAAAAGCATAAAATGATCAGATCTTAAAAGGATAAGAAAGCCAACATTAGGATCTATAGATATATAATTATTAAACTGCCTTCTAGCTTTCAGGTAAGTTCTATGGAGAGATTCATCCCATTTCTACTATAGCCATAACATTAATTTTCTGTAATATATATAAATATATATTTATATGGATTACTTCTCCTTAAGGGCTGTTCTTGTACCTCAGATGCCTTCTAAGGCTGTGATATTTTCTTCCTGCGTTTATATACAGTAGATACAGATATTCTGAACATCTGGAAAAAACTGTTCCATCCAGTGGTCCAAGCCATACATACTTAACAAATTATCAATTTATGTATTAGGGTTTCCCCCCTTTTACATCCTTATATTTAGTAGCACATACCTAATCATAACCAACATGATAGGAAATTTTCTAAGCTCATTGCTGTATGTTGAGTCCTTCAGTCATAACATGGTATCTTGTACTGTTTCATCAGGAAAATTAAATCATTCAGATTTAAAATATAGGTTAGGATTAACAGAACATTAGCTACTTAACAATGGACTCTGCTTGCAATGTTAGGTTCAATTCATAAATATCAATTTATATATGGATTATAGGTCACACAGACCTGAACTGTGGAAAACTGAATGAAAAGATATATTCATAAACAAGCCATTGAGCTAAATGCAGCTTTCTATTTAATTTTGATTGAGAAGTAAAGAACTTTGCTTTTTTATTATCAAGCAAGTGCTATATGCATTCTGAAAGTTTGTCTTAATATGGCATTGTCATTCTGTTCCAGTAATTATGAGATCAATAAAGAATTTGAATCTGTCAAATGAATAGGCCTATCAAACCAAACCACATCAAATTAGAATGTAATCTTGACACAAATGCTGTTCTTTGTTGTTTTTAGTGACATTTTTTCCACAAACTTGTTTTATTTTTAATTTAGTTGCCTTCTAAAATTCTATAAAATGTTATATAGCCACTGAAATAAATGTACAAATTGTAAAGAATGTGTATAAATGTTTTACACCAAATGTAATAAAGATTTCATCTTGCATATAGAATCAGTTTATAAGTTAACTGCAAAGCATATAGTGAACTTAAGGCACTTTCTTCACTGCACCATTTTTTTTAGCATTTGTATCTATCTTTGTAACTGGTTTTCTGGTGATTATTTTTCATGAATCTGGGTTATTCCTGATGACAGAGGTTGCAGATTTAACAGTTTTTAAACAGGCAAACTGGGCACAAAAGAGCACAAACCATTGTTTCATTGTGAAAACTATTTGGAATTGGCAGGTCTATAAACTTTCTGGCAAATGAAGTCTTGAAATTGATAATAAATATTTATACAGATGAGATGCTTTGCTTTTTTTCCCATGGAGTAATTTACAACTCAATATAAAATCTATTATCTGCAAAAAGTGTTTCGTCTATATTCAGAATTTATTCATTTTTCATATTTTCATTTTTCTTTCCAGAAAAATACAGAATAACAGTGTGTCTGATATGCTATATTTGACTTAGAACAGATTTTTTTCATTTCTGAATTCCCTCTAAATTACTCCATCAAAGAATCTCGGGTCCACCAAATACCAAATGCGGTGAAGTAGTTCTGTCCCCTTAGCAGAAAAACACCCCCAAAGCATAATGTTTTCACCTCCATGTTTGACGGGGATGGTGTTCTTGGGGTCACAGGCAGCATTCCTCCTCCTCCTAACACGGTGAGTTGAGTTGATGCCAAAGAGGTCGATTTTGGTCTCATCTGACCACAACGCTTTCACCCAGTTCTCTGAATCATTCAGATGGGTTAGACAGCATCACCACCAGATGGATTCGTAGCTGGCTGACCGGCCGTACTCAGCGTATGGTCCTCAATGGAACCGCATCTACATGGAGGGAAGTTTGTAGTGGGGTGCCCCAGGGCTCTGTTCTGGGCCCAGTGCTCTTCAACATCTTCATCAACGATCTGGACGAGGGGATAGATGGGGAACTCATCAAATTTGCAGATGACACCAAGCTGGCAGGAATAGCCAACACTCCAGAAGACAGGCTTAGGATACAGGA